GACACACAAACACACACCACACTTCTTCTACCCTGACTTCTCTCCTCCCTCACTCCAGGAGTGACTGACAGACATCCTAAGCCATCTGGCAGGCAGGATTTCTGGACTGGCAATGGTAGATTGGTGCACTTTCTCCCCTCCCCCCTTCAAGGGAATGGATATCCGACCAACACACACAACCCGCTTCCAAAACCTCTCTCAGATCCCATTCTGATAACTGCCAACCTTGATGACGCCTTAATTACAGGAACTCTGATTCAGGTTCTTTTAGCCCTGCCTGGTCCTATGGGAAGGTTCGATAACCAGCCTCTGCCCAGCTGGTGGAAGACATAGCATTTGTCACCAACCTTGGAAGCAGGAAGCAGGGAAAAGAAGCAAGGTTTCCCTCTGCGTTTCCCAAACACTGACAAGAATCTGCTGCTTCCCCTCAGCCCTTCACTGTCTTTGCCAAGGAGATTTTTTTTCTTTTTGTCCTTAACCAAATACAAAACCCTGAAATGAATCAACGCTTCGACAGTGAGCTGATGTGACATCTCTTGAAAGAAATGAAATATTTAGAGACGTTGTTTTCTATTATCCCCCTGAGGAAGCGACTCCTCAATATCCTCATCAACCTTGACATGTGTGAATCACGGAGCTCTCATCGCCGCAGACTCATGATCGTGACGCACCACAGACCCGTGACTGGGGGCTGCACGTGATTCCGGCAGTGAGGGCTTTCCCCAGGGAGCTGCGTGAAGCCACCAATTGCTTCTTGTGGACCAGCCTCTGGCTGCATCTTGACAAAGCCCAGGGATGGACAAGGGGTTACCCTGGGGCAAGCTTTGCACTGTGTGTCACCGGAGCATCTCCCTGGTGCCACCATGTGAACCAGACCTCGCCTTGGAGAAGACAGAAATTGCATTATTTTTTTATTTCAAGATTTGTTCAGGGAAAATGTATTATTGCTTCGAGGTGATGCTATCAGGAACTGGGGTGAGGGGGTGTCTTTTAGGTCATAAGGCAGAGTCCCCAAGAACAGCATTTATACCTTGATAAAAGAGACCCAGAGAACTTGATGCCTCCGCGCCCTCCCCCCACTCACACCTGCATCAGTGAGGATACAGAGAAATGTTATTAGAAGAGCCTTCACCAGACCCTGCCATGCTGGCATCCAGACACCACACCTCTAAGAGCTAAATTTCTGTTGTTGATAAGCTACCTGGTCCAGGGTCTTTCGGTGTAGCACTGCAAACGGACACGGGTGTCCATTTCTACGCACAGTTCAAGTTTGGTGCGATCCGTTCCAATCACTCCCCGTACACTTCCTGCCCTCCCCACTCTAACAGTCAAGATAGAACGGGAAGATGCTGGGGGGGGGGTGGACCAGTCAGTAAAGCGCTTGCCCGCACACACCCAAGGGCCTGAGTTTGATCCCCAGCACCCACACTAAAAAGCTGGATGTGGTGGCCAGTGCTTATAACCCCAGCCCTGGGGAGGCAGAGACCAGCCCGCCAACCAGCCCAGCCTACTCTATGAGCCTCAGGCCATAGATTTTATCTCACAAAACAAACAATGGGAGTTGGAGACATTGCTCCTTGGTGTAGAGCAATTGCTGCTCTTGCAGAGGACTCAGCTTCAACAGCCAGCGCCCACATGGCGGCTCACAACCACATAACTCCAGTTCGATGGGATCTGACTCTCTTTTTCCACCCTTTGTGAAAGGTTCAGGTACCTAGGCAGCTTAAAGGGCCCTGGGTTGCGT